TTCAAGTGATTCTTCTGCCTCAGCCCCCCGAGTAGCTGGGGTTACAGGTGTGCGCCACCACGCCCTGCTAGTTTTTGTACTTTTGGTAGAAACGGGGTTTCACCATGTTGGCCAGGCTGATCTTGGAACTCCCAACCTCAGGCGATCTCCCGCCTTGGCCTCCCAAAGTGCTGGGATTATAGGCATGAGCCACAGCACCCAGCCTATTATTAGCTTTAAAGATAAAATCTGTAACTGTCAAAACACAATTGGGAGACATGGAGAAAGGTTACTCTATATTTTTAAATTTCTAAGTGCTTACTGTTACAGTGTAATAGGATATTTACTTCTTTTGCTTATTTTGTGCCTGGTTGTGTACCGAGTGCAGCCTAGGCTCACCTCTCATAGTGATGTGTCAGTTCCCAGTAGGGAACCTGAGACTAGACAACTATGGTCCCTGCATGAGATCTCCTAGGTAGTAGCTGACCCTGCAACTCTAACCCCAAGTGTGCTTTAACCTCTTTTTTTTTTTTTTTTTTTTTTTGAGACAGGGTCTGTTGCCTAGGCTGGAGTATAGTGGTGTGATCTTGGCTCACTGATGCCTCTACCACCTAGGCTCAAGTGATCCTCCCAGCTCAGCCTCCCGGGTGGCTGGGGCTACAGGTGTACGGCACCATGCCTGGCTAATGTTTGTATTTTTTGTACAGACAGGGTTTCACTATGTTGCCCAGGCTGGTCCCAAACTCCTGGACTCAAGCAGTCAGCCCGCCTCAGCCTCCCAAAGTGCTGGGATTACAGGCGTGAGTCACTGCACCCAGCCCGCCATTTGTTTTTTAATAAGACAGTTGGTGTCATAGTAATTCAAATGCTGTATTTAAATTGTTTGATTATTATTTTTCTTGCTATAAATGCATTCCTTGTTCCTCGAGGAAAAAAAGGAAAGCCTGTAAAGAAAAACAAGGATCCTATAGAGGCAGCAATTATTAATATTTAGATGCACATCTTTCCAGACATGTTTCTGATTCTTTAAGAAGGCTCCACACTATGTCTTATTTTGTGAACTTTTTTTTTTTAACAGTATATTATACATATGTTTCCATGGTGATGAATATAAGTTTGGTGCATGGTTTATGTTGAATGGATAAGGGCTTAGTGTGGAATCCATTCTGCATTGTTGGCCCTTTAGCAATTACTAGCTAGAAATTGGAAAAGTGTTTTATTCTCAGTAGCAATAAAGTCTCAGGCATGGCCTTAGCGGTGCAGGAACAGGGCATCTGAAGTGTGGCATGAGGTGGCCTTGAAGGATGCAGGATGAGCTGTGCCAAGTGTGAAGACCCACTTTGTTCTTGAGTGGGTAGACTTCATTCATGAACTTGTGAAGTTTCTCCAAAGTAATACTAAAATTTAATATTTTTGTGAAAACGCTTCTCATGGGTGTGGAGGTTGTATGCGTGCACACACGTGGCTGGGTAAGGTGGTGCCAGTGTGCTTGCGGTGCGGACATCCTGACGAAGGCTGCCATCATGATGCTCAGTGTTGCGGGTGGGAGTGTGCCCCACTATGAGCCATGAGGACCCCCAAACCACATGAGGGTGCTGTTGGTGTCAGGGCAGATAGCCTGGCATCCATGGGGAGTTTGCATGTTAACAGAGGTTGGCTGTCACAGTAACTGGAGGGCCTTTCTGTCATGAATGTGCTGCATACCTTGCGCTCCACGAGTGAGAGGACGGACTTGGAGTGCTGCTCCCATGGCTGATCAGAGCGGAGTCCAGAGGGATGAAGGACTTGAATGTTTTCAGTGGAGCAGCAGTATTAGAACACTCTTGCAGAGACAGTGCCTGTGGCCAAGAGCTGGAAGGGACCGCCTGACCCACACAGACCCCGAAGTCAGGGGAGACAGGCACACGGCTGCAGTGAGACAGGAAGCCGAGCGTTGTACAGATACGGTGAGCCCAGTGGGCAGGCAGGTGATGAGTGGGGAGATGACAGGAAGCCGAGCGTTGTACATGTACGGTGAGCCCAGTGGGCAGGCGGGTGATAGAGCAGGAAGATGATTTGCCATTCTCAGTGTAAGTAAAGGGTTAAATAGCTCTTAAAAATCGAGAAGATATATAAAGTTCCCCCCCACCTTACCTTTAAAAAGGAAGGGCCTGTGAATATGAACAGTCCATCCCAATTGGCCAAAAAGTATGAGAGGCCACTCCAGCTCACTGGTCTGGAGAAGGAAGGACCAGTTTAATGCATGATGAGATGTCTCTTCTCATGCCCCGGACAGGTGAGACCCTAAGGGAACGAGCCTGCTCAGCCTGGCACTAGAAAAGGGGATGTCCTCATGTTGATGGGGACGTGGGATTGCTATCTAAGGATGTGTGTTGCAGCTTTGTCACATGGCACAAAGCAGTCACTGGGGCACAGCCATCCCACCATATTGAGCAGCCAGGTGGAAAATGAGCTCATGTCGAGGGATTTCTGTAATACACTGCTTAGCGAGGATAGCAGAATGCAGAGAAGTAGGAAATGAGGCAGACATTTTCCCCACACGGTTGTGCATGAGGTGACAGTACACGGAACATCATGGAAGGACACACCCAGGTTCACAAAGAGCATCGTGGAACGACACAGCCAGATTCACAGGGAACGTTGTGGACGGGCACACACAGGTGCACCCAGAACGCCATGGATGGACACACCCAGGTTCACACGGAGCATTGTGGAACAACACACCCAGGTTCACATGGAATGT